CTGCTGAAACTGCATGAAGCTGCTTTGTTGCATTGCCCTACAGAACAGTATCAAAATTAGCTATAAACCACCCTAGACAATTGCCATATTTATTTTTTGTGGGTAAATAAGCTATATTTAGCCACATGTGTGAAATAAGACAAAAGGAATTGTCATTATTTCTAGTCTGTCTGCTGAATGCACTTAAAATGTGGACTCAGTATCTACTCTGTGCTTGAGGATTAACTGCAGTGGCATCTTGATATGTATTAGGAAAGTTCTGTTATAGTATATGCTGTTTAGATATTTGTCTGCTGTGCTGAAAGGTTAGTATGGTAGCATGTAATACCCCTAGCAGAAGGTACAAGGCAGCAGGCACTTTAAGCCTTCTCATCAGGTTTAGGAATTGTTTTCTTTTGCTTGTAAAGTTGTGATGACCAAATTTCAAACCAGTTTTGATTTCATTCCACCCCTGTGCCAAGCAGGAAGAATTGCTGCGTAGTTTTGTACTAAGGAGACTCTTCCTTGTTTTTTCCACAAGTTGTTTAATTGTGATGCCTGATACTTCTGTGTGTGATCTTGGGTAGGACTTGTTATAAATTCTCATGCTAACAGGCACAGTCCTTGGAGGCTCTACTAGAAACCTGAACTTTACTGTTGGTGATAATCATTATGCTGCTTGGCGTTCTCAATTGTTAGCTGAGGTACTTAGATGCTAATTTATGCACACCTATAGGAGGGGTTTGTTATAAGCTTATAACTTTTTTATTTTGGATGTCAGGCTTGCTTTAAAGGTGAAAGTGGGAGAGCAAGGTGGAATGGGAGGAGTTGGGTGAAGCAAAGAATGGGGCACACCTATATAGATACCAGAAACTTTCCCTTTAATCTCATTTCTGGTAACTGTTCACTTGGCCCACGGGCATGGTCATTCGTACATCACCACACACACTGATGCACTGATGCTACAGACACTGCTACATTAGTACTGGCTAGAAAACTGTGATCTAGCTCTGTATCTCATATTCTTGATTTAAGCTGCTGATTTCTTAAATTTGAGTCTTTGTCTTTAGCTAGTAGTTTAAATCAGCCTGGTATTACTTAGCTAAAAGAAATAAAAAAACAACAAACAACAGACAGACTCTAAATCCTGCAGTATCAGCTAATTGGAAAAGATTATCTTAATTCAGGTTAGGAATCATCTCTTAGAGACATTTCAAAGTAATTTTTTTAGTAATATCAGCATATAATGCACAGAAGACAGGACACATAAGGCCTTGGGTAGTGTGGGGTGGATTTGAGACTTGCTGCAAGGCGAGCAGCATTGGGAGCTGGGAGGTTAGCTGCTCAGCTTAAGATTGTGTTGAACTGCTTTTGCATGTATGTCTCAGAGGGCTTGTAATCTCCAGGCATCCAATGATTACCAAGTGTAGGCATCTCTTAAAATTTATTTGGGGCAGATTTCCTGGACTGTGCTTACCACAGAGCTGCTGGAGAGATCTGGAGAATATTGAATCCAAGTCTGAGGAAGAGAAAGAGCCATGGGATGTGTGATCTTTTTTCTCCTCTTTTGCATCCCAGCTCTGTAATGGCAATCTCTTATCCTTTTGGCTCCAGCTTAATTTAGAAGTTCTTTAATTTTGCAGATGTACAGATGGATTTAAATGGTTTGTTCTGAATTATTAACAGATGTCATGTCAAGGAATGGAGTTGTTTTAACTGTAACAAGTCAATGGCATCTGCATTCTGACCTTGTCATAGAAGACAAATCTTAATTATTCCTTTCCTATAATCCATTGATAACTGGATTTTCCAATTAGTGATCAATGGAAATGAAGCTAGATTGCTAGAAAGCCATGCTGAGCTCCAACCAAAAGAAGAGTTCTCTCACTTGAAGGATGTTTGAATTGTGTTGAGCTGTGAAAAAACGTTGTCAAAGCATGTTTTGAGTAACTGCTGGTGTGGAATTGAGGCTGTAATTTTGAATACAACTTTTTAGATCAGATAGTTTGTGTTTGGAGATATAGTGTTGTATTTTCTTTCTCTCTCTATATATATACACACTTATTTTTAAAAATATTGACCGTTCCTGGAAAATGTGAAAATTCAGCTTGTTTCCTGCATTTTAGCTGGGCTTTCAGAAGAAGGAAAAGTCACATCAGATATTAGAAAAATCTGTTCCAAATCTGTTCTGTGTCTGGAAACTGAGACAGAACCATCAGACAAGCCTGTTAGCACTTCTTAATTTTTTTCTTCTTCCCCTCCAATCACATCTCTCTCTACTACTATAAATCTTCAGATTACCCCAAAGGAAGAAAACTGGTGGGGGTTTCATATGTATTTATGGCCTTCTTACCCCAATTAGTTCTGTCACAGAAGTGGAGCAGTGGTCATTAACCCAGAAGATGCTCCAACCCTAAAATGAGATACGTTGGCATGTTCAATTTATGTACATTTTTGTAAGTATTTCCAGAGGGGAAAAAATTCTCATTTGCTGATAAAGCTACTGGTTTTAATTTAAAAAGAGGGATCAAACCAAGAATAACAGCTGTGATTCTGGAGGTTTCAGCCTGTCAGGGTTTTCTAAGAAGTAATTGCCAGAATACTGGGGAAACTGGCTATAAGTCATCTATCTATTTAGAAAATGTAAATTGCCAACTCAGTGTAACTACAGAAAAGAAATATCAGTCCATATTCATTACTTGTTATTACTCATGGTGTATCTGAAAGCTTTCTAAAGACCTAAGAGAATTCAAGTAGTGCCTCCTAACTTACAATTTAGTAGAATTTCTATGTAGAAAATAGCTTACAATACACGGGAGCATTCATGTGTGTTTGCAATTGGAATGTGCGGTGGTGCATATCAACAGCCTCTAAGGAGCAGAAAATTTGAATTTAGCCTGATGGTTCTGAGAGTATTAAATGGCATTAGCTGGAGGGGAGTTGAAAATAAGAGTATCAGCCCCTGAAAAAGAAAAGAGCAAGGGTGGGATGTGAATTGCATTAAGAGCTCTGCTTGTTTTCAGAGGTGCAGCGTGGCTGACATTGTCACACCTTAAATAGGAGATTCTTTGATGTACCTTGAAGGAGCAAAATGGCTGAAGATTTTCCATTTGGTCTAAGATAACTATCCACAAAATCCTTTCCCTCCTTCCTCTTCCTTCTAACTTTGCCCTATGAGCCTTTCTAGTTGGGTGGGGAAAAAATAGATAGTTTACACAGTCAAACGCTTAAGAGATTCCAAACATGGAAACATTTTCTCCTTTGGAAATTAGTGATTGAAGCTTCTTATTGAACAGGACAAAAAGTACAAGCATATATGAAATTTTAAATCTTAAAACTCCCTTTGTGAAGTATGTGTAAGCATAACTCATACTGATGTGTTTGTAAAAGGGTGAGGAGTGATAGAATGTTTTTACTGCAGCTTCAGGTGCTGAATATGTATAAGTGAGTACATGTATGTTTTATTGAAATTCAAATGTTATTTTAAAATATGTGGGTTTTTAAAAATTATATTTGAAATTGTTCCTCTGTGCTAAGGACTGAATTTACTCTAACATGCTATAGATGTTTGAATACAAATTTTCTAGCAATATCTGTTTCCTAATGAAGCTTTAAAAGCATTCAAACCACCAGAGAACTGCAGTTAACGGGAGCCAGAATTTGTTTCAAGCACGTTTTGACAGAAACAAATATTCAGGGAGAATATTTTTATCTTGTTTTATTTTGGTCTGCTGTTCAGCTCTACAGGTAGCTTTTTCTTCTTTATTTGAAAGACAAAAATAGTTGAAATATAGAAGTACTGTCATAAACTTTATTTTGTGTGCACAGAAATTTATTATAGTAAATTCATGGATAACGAGGCAATAGGCTTATTTATGGATTAAAAAAAATGTTCTCCATAAAAATGTCACAAAAAATGTCAGAAGCTGTAAGTATAGAATAATCTAAAAGCAATCTTTTCTGTTATTATTAGCTGTCATAATAATGGGCAAATTCCACTCATATCTAGCAGTCTGAAAAGTAAAACTGAAGACCTCTAAGACTTTCAGCATATACATTTGTTTAGATAACTGTAGATACATGAATCTTTTTGAGGAAAGTAAGTGTTTAATATAAAAGCTAATTTGATATAAACCAATGCATTTTAATGGTTAACAGAATCAACTTTATGGAATTAACCAAAAAGCACAAATGTGAAAGATTAAAATTGATTATCTAAGTAGTGACTGAACTCTGCCGTTTGCATCATTGTGATGAAAATCAATTCATCCTGAATGAAGCTGGGAATAAAGCTCTTCCCTTCTGACAGGAACAGCAGCATTGTTCAGCAATATCCTGCACATTTGTCAAGTTGTAGCTTGTTCAGGTCTCAAGAACAGAAGCACAAAGCTGGCCTCCCAGTTGCTTTTAATGCATACTAGTGGGTTTTTCCTATGGCCAAGAATTTGATCTGTAGGGTGATCCAGAGGTCAAGAACAAACAGCTCACTATGGCTCACCTCAGCCAAGCCAGGGCTTTCATTTGCTTTTTTTAGTAACTCTAGAGGAAGTGCCTTAACTCTTTTTCAGAAGCAAAATTTTAATTGGCATAGATAATGCAGCCTTAAGAAAATATGGATGGGTTCAGTCCTTCCATTCAAAAATAATATTTTGTGCAGTGTTTTCTTTTCAGCCCAGTGTAAATCTGGGGAGTTCCATCACGTGGTTCTGCATCAGTTAGAAATAATTCCTAGAACTCCATGTCTTTCCCTGCTTCGTTTGCAATCCTATCCATGTATCTCTAAGCTAGTACCCCTCCCTTGTGCTGATCAGTGTTTTCAGACTTTGTGTTTATCCTGTCAGAAAAGCATCAGATGTTGTTTTTTTCTTTTCAATTATAAGTTTTGTAATGCATCACGGATTTTGCTGACAGTCTTCAAGTTCTTGAAATAGCAAGCAAATTAACAGCAGATATTG